GTGGTGTTTTTTTTTTGAGTCTGAACCCAGGAGGAATTTGGCTTATGCCCAGAGTCACAAAGACTTTGGGGAGTATGGTCTGGAAGGGGTTTTCTTTTCAGGGGAGCAGTGGATTATTTCTACTACTTGAAACTTTGGACCTTTATTTTAGAGGCAGCACTGACTTTCAGCCCAGAGCAGTAGCCACCAAATGCTAACTACAGCTGTGGTCTCAGTTTAGGCTGGGCCGTTGCACATGTGGTGTACTTTGGAGGCTGCTGGAAAGACTTGTGTGCCTCGACCTGTGCTCCACTCCTCAGTTCACCTGCCTCGTGGCTGTAGTCCCTTCATTACAAAGTTCTGCCTTTTGTTCTCGGTAGTTCCGTTCTTCTCAGTGCAAAGCCCTCAGAAATTACCTCTTGTCACCAGTAGATCCCCCCACCCAAGCGCTCATTTTGTTGCCGGTTGGGGTGGGCACTGGGGACACCTTTGTAGGTCCAGGGCTGAGGCCACGTGGCTAGTGTGGAAATGATGTCCTAGCTGACAAATTCTCTGCCAAGGTACCTTCAGGTGGTACTCAGCCAGGGTACCTAGGCTGAGCTTTGTAAGAAAAGAAGCCAAAATGCCTTTGGCTATTTTGGCTAGCTTTCCTCGCCTCCTTGTCTTAGCTGGATTCAAATTCCATTCAAAAATTTAAGACGAAGTTGGCAGTAGTCTTCTGATAATGCATTATGGGAGGTGTGTCCAAATCCGATCATCTCAAGACAAAAAAATCTTAAAGGTCAGAATCTTAGAAGTCATTAAGATACCTAGAGGTTTGTGTGTCTAAGTCTGATACAAACAACAGTATCCCTGGGAGAAGCACTAAAAGCCAGTGTTTTCTTTTAGTGCTTTTGGTTTTCAAGAAATGTTTTATCTCATTATTTAAAAGGAAATCAAAAGTGCTATATAGTTGTAGGATAATCATAGTAAACACTTATCCTGGTTAGAGCAATTGTAATAATTAACATCATCAACAGTTTGTATTTCTTAGTTGCTTCCAGTGTTAAGTCAGTGCTTTTCAAACCTTCCCCTGGAATACCCCTGGTGGCGTAGGAGGGTGAAGATACACATCTCATGGACTGTAGGCATGGTCCATATGATCGGTGACCTCCAGGAGGTGCTCCGTGTTTATCTCTTGGCTCCCTGTCAGTTCCGTCACAGCCGCGGGGAACACGTGTGTGTAGGTGAGGCTGAGGGGTGCACAGCCACAAGACAGGGCAGGAGTGAGATGGTGGTCCAGAAAAGCAGAGGCACAGCTTTCAGTGCTCTGAGGGCTGTGCTCATGTCCTCAGAACCCTGTGTTTTTTTTTAAAAAAAAGAAGTGTTCCACTGTCTTGTCATCATAGAGTAAAAGTTTGTACCAGGGGTTGTTAACAGTCTCTGATGGAAAAAAAAGTCACATGTAAAACCATTATTTTGTTTCAGGCCGAGGGGGCCCCGGACCTTCTCAGAGAGTGCCAAAGTCCGGACGTTCCAGCTCCTTGGATGGAGATCACCATGACGGATACCACAGAGATGAACCTTTTGGGGGCCCTCCAGGCAGTGGTACCCCTTCTAGAGGGGGCCGGAGTGGCAGTAACTGGGGTAGAGGGAGTAACATGAACTCTGGCCCGCCAAGGCGAGGAGCTTCAAGGGGGGGTGGAAGGGGTCGGTAGAAGTTGGGGCTCAGTACCCCTCGGCCTTTCTGGACAGTATTTAAGAACTTCTGTGGACTTCCCAAGAGAAACAAAAGGAAACCTGCACCGTGTAGCCCTGAACTCTTTCTGGGGCAGCTGAATCCCAGGAGCCCCTGATGTCTTTAAGGTGAAGAGACTGCTGCCAGAGTAGCTGGCTACCCAGAGTAGCTGGCCTTGTTTTGTCCTGTCCACCCACACTGCCCTAAATCCCATGTGGGCTTGTGAAGATAAGAGCTGGAATTTTTTTTTTTCTTTTTTTTTTTTTAAAGTGTCACAAGACATGGAACCTCCACAAATTTAAGTTCATGTCCAATTGGAAATTTGTTTCTATATGTACAGTTTGTCAGAGAAAAAGTTGTTTTTGTATGAATACAGAATGTGATTTACGCAAGAATTAACAGAAAACAACTAGTCGTCAAGTGCTTGCCTTAAGGAAACCCTTAGCTTCCATTGCATCTGGTCTGCTGAGGGGGGCACAATTATTGCTTATATTTGTGAGCATACTTGATGGGAATCTCTAAGTCATCTAAAGTCATCTGTGAACTTTTTGTTTTTAAACAAATTCTTATCTAGCCATTCTGTCACACTTATTTTTGTAGTAGCGTGAAAAATACTTCAAAACTATAACAAGGTTTGAAGTAGATTCAAAGCCTTATAATTAGTTACATCTACTCTGGCAGATGGAAAATTATACACCAGAGGAAGAAAAAATCTGGATGTCCAAGTAGGGGTCTTCCTTGGCTGCATCTCCTAGTAATCACACCGTAGACTTGCATTGCCTTTTTCTGAAGAGAGGAACTTGACATAAACCAGAAATCAACTACACATACCCTCTGAATACTGTAAATCATTTCACAAATGGTTCTAAGTTGAAAAGGAATGGATCAAAATATCTCTTAAAACAGTTGTGCAAAACTTAAATAATTTCTTCCTCTTCCACACTAGCTATGTGGAAACACCAGTGTTTAAGACAGAGGACTGTTCCAACTTAAAGTAAGCCAGGAAGTTCTCATCCACAACAAGTTCCTTTAGTTTCAAATAAATGGAACATTTGGCCCAGTTTGAATTGAAAGCCAAAAGTTCAGTTTGAGATAACCCCAGCATACTTTCTATACTGACCCCTTACTTTGTTTTTATAAAAAGAAACCTTTTATTATTCAAAGGACTCTCCTGTGGCCACCCTAACGTCTCATTACTTTGCCAGCTTCAGTTTGGCATAGGAGAAAAGTTTAGTGGTGCTGGAAAGTGTCAGTACTTGCTTAGGAAAGGGATACTGACATAGTCGGAGAGTATATAAAAAACTCGTAACTGATTCTCCATTAATGTAAAAAATGGTAAGTGCTAAGTTATCTCTGAAGATAAAATGTTGACACCACACACACTGCTTTTTTAGGGTGTTAAGAACCTAGAGACTAAGAGATTTTCTCTTTACTTTGCGATTTAAAACATCCTATTGATCAGCACTTTGCTCTAAACACATGTTTAGGAGACTCAGGATTGCTTTAGGTTAGAGGATATTCCTTTTTTGTGTGTGGTACGCGGGCCTCTCACTGTTGTGGCCTCTCCCGTTGCGGAGCACAGGCTCCGGACGCGCAGGCTCAGCGGCCATGGCTCACGGGCCCAGCCGCTCCGTGGCATGCGGGATCCTCCCGGACCGGGGCACGAGCCCGCGTCCCCTGCATCGGCAGGCGGACTCTCAACCACTGCGCCACCAGGGAAGCCCTGAGGATATTCTTTATTTGCCCTCCACTGGTATAGCTTAAAAAGAAGTTGTAATCAAATTCTAAGAAGCTAAAAAGGGATCCAGAGAGCAAATCCATACAGAGATTTAGGCTCCTTTTTTCTGAGATTTATGTGGTAAGAACTTTATCATAACATTCCAAGGCTTTAACTTGAAAAACACAGTACCTCAGTAAGCAGATAACCAGATCACATTTTGAGAATGAATTCATTTAGAGAAAACTGAAAACTCAACATTATATATTAATTACTTAGTAATGCATTACTTAGTAAGTGATGCATTTTTAAAGTATCACTGTCAAAATACATACAGGATGCTGTGCTTTGAATTTTATTAAAGCTTAGATTTCCAAACAGTGAATTCTTGAAAAAATGTTGGGAAAACGATTTTTAAAAATACAGTAGCATGAACATAAAAGTCAACACTGTGAAATCTTCAGCCATGCAAACTGTAGAGAAATTTAGAACTAGAATGCAGATTTAACAAGGGGGTAGAAAGAGCAGCCAATGGTACAAGTTTTCCAGTCAAAAAAATCACTCCCCCAAAACAGTGGATTTGCTTCTACAAACACCCCCTTGGTTGTTCCTCTTGAGGTAGGTAACCCTATTTACTGAGAGGGGAACAAGGGAGCATTCTTAGAGAATATGGGGGGTTGGGGTAAGTCTACAGTGTGGATGTTGGTCACTTTAGTGTCCACTTCTTGGAGCAGGGCTTAGGACACTGATAAAAATCTAAATTTTGAGGTTGGACAAAGGGGCAAGGCTCGACTGCTGCCTGACAGCCAGTTTCGGCAACACTGGAATCCAGCCCCAGGAGACAATTATTTTCAAATCGTGCAATCCAACATACAGAAAAGTGGTTCACAACCTTAGCTGGAAAAGGAATCATCTGGAGAGCTCAAAAAAAATGCTGATGCGTGGCTCCCACCCCCACCCCCGCAGAGACAGACCGAGTTGATCTGAGGTTTGAGTCGTCAAGTAATTGTCATGTGAACGGAGAACCACTGGCATAGGATTTAAACATTTTAAATAGTTTACTTCCTAGTTAATATACAGCTAGTGACAAAACATGTAGTTTTCTGGACTCCTCAGAATTTTGAGCCCATACTTTGTGGCAATAAATTAAGGTAAGTAAGAAGGTCCTAAACAAAAGTTAAGTGCTAAACCTAAAACGAAGGAAATTTGGCAATTAGGTATGAAAAGCATCTTACATCACATGAAGATCAGAGTGTAAATTATAGTTAAAAAGCAGATCATAAAATTAGGAATGAAAAAAATTAGGCCTTGTAGAAATCCATGGTTTCCATCAAATAGGGAAACCGCACGTAGAATCATGTGTCTCCCAGGAGTCCCCTAGCCCAGTTCTGCCCACGGACCTCTCACAGCATTTACACGCACCTTACTGGGTATTTCTTACAGGATGCTTCTTGGTCCATCGCTTTCCTCATCTAATACAGAATCAATTTTCCTTTAATTTTATAAGGTACCATGTTTACAACTCCACTAAAAGTAGAAAAAACTGAGATAAACCGTCTTAACTAAAGTACTTTTAAAAAATTCCGGTGGCTAAAGTCAGTATTTATTTTAATAACCCTTATGGATCCACTCACATTGAAGAATACGGAAAAATAATTTCCAAGAGCCGAAGAGAACAAGTTTACTGTAGCTAAGCTACTACAGTCTACCACTGGATTTTTTAAAGTGACAAAACGTGGAACAGAAGTCTGAGAAAAGTAATAAGGGCAGTTAATTAAAACGGAAGAGCTAGTGTTCTTTTTCAACTGAGTGTAAACTAAGACCGCGGTTAACGCAAAAGCAATTTATCATAAATGCTTCACAGTATGTCACCAACTCAAGGACAAAATTTAGTTCTCATAGCACTTGATGCTGAGTATAGCACAAAACGCTGAACTTGAGGAGCTTCCGAAACAGCTCATGTCTCAGTTTTACAACTGCTGCTCAGTTTACAGATTTCGCTGGCACAGTAAAGGAGCAGCCTTTGCCCCGCGCGCTCTGGGAACGGCGGGCAGAGTCCTTGGCATGGCGAGCGCTGGGCCCCTGGGCCGGCTCCGTGTGGTCTCCCGACGGCGCGTCCCGGGGGCGGACTCTGCGTCCTTTCCGACGGCGCGGGCCCCAGGCCTCTCACACGGGGAGCGCCTTGGCGAGGGTGGCGCCCGGGCCCAGGCGCCGAAGCGCCATGCGCAGCGCGGTGCCCGCGCCGCGGGGCAGCAAACCCAACAGCACGGCGAGCAGCGCAGCCACCTGCGCGCAGGCGCCCAGCGCCGTGAGCAACGTGCTACGCAGACCCAGCGCCGCGTACAGCGTAGCGCCCAGCGCGGCCACGTAGAGCAGCGCGGGCCGCGACGGCGCCTCCTCGCCGCGCAGCAGGCGTCCGCACGCCGCACCGCCTCGCAGCAGCGTGCCGCCCGCTAGCGCCAGCGCCGAGCCCAGCGACCACAGCAGCGCGAACTTGCGGGCGCGCAACAGCAACACTGGGGCGTAGAGTGCGGCCAGGCCGAAGCAGAGCGCGGCCAGCAGCAGGCACACGCCGCTCGCCGCCAGCCGCTGAGCGCGCGTCACGCTCGGCATGCACGTCGGTCCCGCCGCCGTCGTCGGCTCCGCGGAGCTCCGCGCCCACGTCCAGCGCAGGCCCGCGCGGCCGAGCCACGCCCCCGCCGGCCCGGCCCTGGCCGTGGGCTCCTCTGCCTCTCCCGCGTCGAGGAGCGGCTCGGCGGCTGCCGGCCCGCCCGCTTTCCCCTGCGCCAGATACTCCTGCAGTTGGCGGTGGAGGTCCGCCATCTTGGGCGGGGGCTCCGGGAAGGGGAGGGCTGCCGCCCACTTCCGGTTTTGCTGGGTCGCCGTTGGAAGCGGCTCGGCTCCGGTCGGCTGTTGGTCGGCCTTGGCGGAAGGGGCGGGGCCTGCGGCTCCGCTCCTTCAGCTGCCTCCGCTGGACCCGGGGCTTGGGACTCTGCTGGTCCCTGAGCGTTTACCCTCCTAGCCCCGGACCTTGTCCTGTGTCCGGTGTAGGCGCTATGAGGGCCTGGATAAATCATGGCAGCCTTAAAAGTTAGTTGGGGGACGTAAGTCGGTGTGGTTATAAAAGAACTTGAAGGAAACTTAACGTGTCTTGACCTTATGGATGTCAGTATCTTGTGATACTGTGTTATAGCTTTTCGAGATGTTGCTATTGGAAAATGGGGAAAGGGTACACGGGATCTACATATTTCTTAAAACCATGCTAATCTATGTCAATGAATTCAATGTTTTTAGACGCTCAGACTGCAGGTCTTAGGTGGTTTCTTTGGGAAAGCTACAGAGGTGAAGAAGAGTTAACCCCCCCACTCCCACCAGTTTGCTTCTTTTCTCTTCCCCGTTTCAGCAGAGGCCTGGAAATACTCTTGAGTCTTTCAGGCCCCTTATCATGTATCCTTGGACCGCCTTGCCATGCTCCTCGCACTTCTGGGTGTTCTGAGGTAGCTCCCACAGCCCTGCTCTTTTTCAGAGCCTCCTTGAAGTTCTTCAGCCAGTGGTCACAACTTTCCGGGTCTCTGCCTGGGCTTCATACCCCTCTGGTTTCTACCTCATTCCCATTCCCGGACGTTGGATCAAGCTGCACCTCCTGCTGTTTACTCCTGTCCCGCTTAGGTGCACTTTTTCTGAGTTCTCATCTATTCTAGTTGTGAAAGTTTATTGGTTTAAGGCACTGCCAGCAGCTTGAGGACAGGTTCTCTTCCATCTCCCTTTTCCTGGGGCCTGGAAGGCTGCTGCAAAGGCACACAAACAGATGTTGACCAGATTGACACAGTTGTCAATTTGTGTACAGTAAAGCTGCCTGAAAGGCTTTGTAGATACTTCTTTTTAAAAAAAATTATTTATTTATTTGGTTGTGCCGAGTCTTAGTTGCAGCAGTCGGGCTCCTTAGTTGTGGCTTGCGGGCTCCCTTGCTGGCCCCTTAGTTGTGGCATGCGAACTTTTAATTGCAGCGTGTGTGTGGGATCCATCTCCCCGACCAGGGGTTGAACCTGGGACCCCTGCATTGGGAGCGCGGAGTCTTAACCGCTGCACCACCAGGGAAGTCCCCTGTAGATACTTCTTTTGTAGATGTAGAAGCCATTGGTTGAAAAACCTATTTTGCTAGACTTTATAAATGCCTGTTGTGAACGTGAACATGATGGCATGGAAGTCCTTTTGTACTGTACAGTGCGATACAGTTAAGTAATACAGCAGTCTACTCTTGTACAAGTCTTCGGCTTACTTGCCCCAGAAGTACTGGGAGTGGAAGGCAGGGCTGACCACTCTAGGCTGTTTCTGGTATCCCTGGCTTTGGAGGCACTGCAGGAGGTGAACCCAGGGTATTTCCCCCATGTCTGCCGCTTTTGGCTGTACTGGCTTCCCCTGGGCAACTCCTGCTGATAGGCTGGTAACACCCCTTTGTTCTCTCTTCTATGGAAAGGTTGATATTAATGGCTTTCTCCTGTTGTCGTCTCTGACTTTTCAGTCTTCCTGTTACCTGTGTAACCTGTTTCCCGCATTAAATTCCCCTTAATACTTTCTGTTTTCCTGGTTGGATCTTGGCAGTTACTGTTGGTCCTGAACCAAACTTGGTTCCACTTGCCCGATGTGAGCAAAGCCAATCCACTGACACTGGATTGTGGTGGAGGAGAGCGCAGCGTTTATTGCAGGGCGCCCAGCACCATGCTCAGAGGACCCGTACTCCCCAGTGGCTTTCAGGGAAGAGCTTTTAAAGACAGTGGGAGGGCGAGGGTCACAGGGTGCATGATCAGCTTGTGCACAGTTCTCTGGTTGATGGTGAAGTTAAGAGGACGATGTTTCAGGAATCTCAGTCATCAGCCTTCTGGTTCTAACAGGTCTGGGGTCTACGTGCTGGTGGTGACCATGCAGTTAACTTCCTCCACCTAGTGGAGGTTTTAGTGTCTGCAAAACAGCTCAAGGGTATGGTTCAGGATATTATCTACAGCCCTTGAGAAGGAGCTAAAGGTCCTCAACTTTGTTTTATGGCTAGACTATTATTATTTTGTCTGGCTTGACTGCTTCCTTTGTTTCTTCATTTTCTCACTTTGCGCTTTGGAACTCGGGGAACACCTAGGAGGCTAAAGCTTTTCTACAAACAAGAAGTGGAGACATGGGGAGGTCTCTCCCTGGAAGGGTCCTGCTTGGTTTCAGTATGCTTTTTCAAATACATTCCAATTTGTTATCTCACGTGTGTCACCCTGAATAAAGGGGTAAACCGAGGCAAGCTTAAGTTACCAGAAATTGAACTTATTCGGGAATAGCAGAGGAATTGCATTTCGGGAAAAGGAAACTGTAGCAGCTACAAGGGAGTCCGTTGAGGTTTGGGCTGGGCTGCATTTATGAGCAAGGAGCGCCTAGAGCAGAGAGTCTAGCCAGAGTCCAGGCAGTAAGTTTGGCTTGAGGATGGGGAGAGATTTTTTTTTTTAATTGGAGTATAATTGCTTTACAATGTTGTGTTAGTTTCTGCTGTGCAGTGAAGTGAATCAGCTGTATGTATACATATCTCCCCTCCCTCTTGGACCTCCCTCCCACCCCCCATCGCACCCATCTAGGTCATCACAACACTGAGCTGAGCTCCCTGTGCTATACAGCAGGTTCCCACTAGCTATCTGTTTTACACATGGTAGTGTATTTATGTCAAATCTAATCTCCCAATTCATCCCACCCTCCCCTTCCCCCCTCCCATGTCCACATGTCTTCCCCCCTCCCATGTCCACATGTCTACATCTGCCTTTCTATTCCTGCCTTGCAAATAGGTTCATCTGTACCATTTTTCTAGATTCCACATGTATGTGTTAATATATGATATTTGTTTTTCTCTTTCTGACTGACTTCACTCTATATGACAGACTAGGTTCATCCACATCTCTGCAAATGACCCAATTTCATTTCTCTTTATGGCTGAGTAATATTCCATTGTGTATATATATGTACCACATCTTCTTTATCCATTCATCTGTCGATGGACATTTAGATTGTTTCCATGTGCTGGCTATTGTAAATAGAGCTGCAGTGAACATTGGGGTACATGTGTCTTTTTAAATTATGGTTTTCTCAGGGTATATGCCCAGTAGTGGGATTCCTGGATCATATGGTAGTTCTATTTTTAGTTTTTTAAGGAACCTCCCTACTGTTCTCCATAGTGTCTGTACCAATTTACATTCCCACCACCAGTGCAAGAGGGTTCCCTTTTCTCTGCACCCTCTCCAGCATTTATTATTTGTAGATTTTCTGATGATGCCCATTCTAACTGGTGTGAGGTGATACCTCATTGTAGTTTTGATTTGCATTTCTCTACTAATTAGTACTGTTGAGCATCTTTTCATGTGCCTCTTGGCCATCTGTATGTCTTCTTTGCTGAAATGTCTATTTAGGTCTTCCGCCCATTTTTTGATTGGGTTGTTTGTTTTTTGATACTGAGCTGCATGAGCTGTTTGTATATTTTGGAGATTAATTCTTTGTCCTTTTCTTCATTTGCAAATATTTTCTCCCATTCTGAGGGTTGTCTTTTGGTCTTGTTTATGGTTTCCTTTGCTGTGCAAAACCTTTTAAGCTTCATTAGGTCCCATTAGCTTATTTTTATTTTTATTTTCATTACTCTAGGAGGTGGGTCATAAAAGATCTTGCTGTGATTTATGTCAAAGAGTGTTTTTCCTATGTTTTCCTTTAAGAGTTTTATAGTGTCCAGTCTTACATTTAGGTTTTTAATCCACTTTGAGTTTATTTTTGTATGTGGTGTTAGGTAGTGTTCTAATTTCATTCATTTACATGTTGTTGTCCAGTTTTCCCAGCACCATTTATTGAAGAGGCTGTCTTGTCTCCATTGTATATTCTTGTCTCCTTTGTCATAGATTAGGTGACCATAGGTGTGTGGTTTTATCTCTGGGCTTTCTGTCTTGTACCATTGATTTATATTTCCGTTTTTGTGCCAATACCATACTGTCTTGACTACTGTAGCTTTGTAATGTAGTCTGAAGTTGGGGAGCCTGATTCCTCCAGCTCCATTTTTCTTTTTCAAGATTGCTTTGGCTATTCGGGGTCTTTTGTGTTTCCATACAAATTGTATAATTTTTTGTTCTAGTTCTGTGAAAAATGCCACTGGTAATTTGATGGGGAGAGATTCTTGGTGAATGTTCAGTTCTGTAGCCACTAGCCACATGTAGTTTGAGCAACCTGAAAGGTGGCTGGTGAGTTGGAAGAACTTCATTTTAAATTTTAATTAATTCATTATTTATAATGAATTATATTTATACTATAACTTACATCATCAACATAATTTATAAAATATAATTTATTATAACATAGCATCATTATATGATCAAATTGATAAGAGCCACATGTGGCCAGTGGCTTCTGTATTGGACAGCACAGCTTGGAGCACGTTGGAAACATGGGCATTTTGGTTATCACTGTGACCAGCGGGCACCGGAGGCATTTGTTCCACAGTGCCTGCAATGTCAGGCTTTGGTGAAAGTCAGAGCGTCTGGGCTGGGATGGCTTGTTCCTCCACAGGGGTTCTGGCAGAGCAGTCTGATCTGAGAACACAGCGTTTTCTCAGCTCAGCTCTGCAGACCTCGCTACCCGCTCCGTGGCAGGGCTACTTGAGTCGGGGCCCACCCCTGGGGGAAACCGGGGAAGCAGGCACTCCTACACAGGAGTTCCTTGTGCTTAGTGAGAACCCATCACAGTGTGTCTCACTGTTGAGCAGGGCTTTGTGTGTCCAGCTCGCTTAACCTGAGAGACATCCTTGTGCTGTTTCCTTGGGTAGCCACCCTGGGCACCGGCGCCCTCA